GGGCGGGCGCTTTGCGACGGCGGCGCTTGTCGGCGGCGGCGGCGGCGGCGGGGACGGCCATGCTGCTCACCGTGTTCTGCCTGCGCCGCGACCGCTCCGAGATCACCTTCAGCCTCCAGGTGGACGCCGACTTCGAGCTCCAGAACTTCCGCGCCCTCTGCGAGCTGGAGTCCGGCATCCCGGCGGCCGAGAGCCAGGTCAGGGCCTGCCCCCCCCCGCGCCGCTCGGAGCGGCGGCGCCCCCGGGAGGGCCCCGGGCGGTGCCCCCGGGGTCGGGTCCGGGTGGGAGCGGCTGCGCCCCCTGCCCCGAGCAGAGGCGGGGTTCCCCCGGCTGGGAGCGGCGCCGTGCCCCCCCTTTCCTGGGGTCGCGGTCCCCGGAGCCTCCGCCCCGCGGATCCGGAGTTTGGGGCTTGTTTGGGGATCGTTGGGCAGGGTCGGGGCCCCTCCCCCGCCGCCCTCCTTCGCCTCCGTCGCTCTTCCCTCAAAATCCTCGTTTTGCCCCTCGGGAGGGGGCTCCGAGTGCTCGGTGACTTGGTGCCTCCGGAAAAGGCTCGATCTGCTCCCGCTGAGCGGCTGAAAGGGGGGGAGAATAACGTGGGTTTGTTGTTTTTATTGAGGTTTAGTAGGAATTTGGTGTTTAAACGGGGCAGGATTTGGACGAGAGAAGAGGGAGTCGGAGAGTGAGGAAGGTGGTGGCCCGTGGAATCCTCAACCCGCTGAAATGTTCGGGAACGGTTCTGCAATGTTTGGAAGGGGTTTGTTTATCCCATCAAAGCCCAGTCTAGTCTGGGGCCGAAAGGGCACATTGAGGCTTTTCCTCCCTTTTTTCCACACAGGTGTGGGGACCAGACGGGCGCATCCGTGTGGTTTTCCCAGCAAATATTCCCCCTCTCAGCCCAGATTCGGGGCTCACTCGCTGCCAAAACATGCGGGAGGCTGCGAGTGGGGGCGGCCCTGGGCCATCTGTCCGTCCCTCTGGGGTTTGCTCATGGTTTGGGTTCAGTCCCACTTTTGTGGCCGTTCCTCCCGGTTTTTCCTGGGCAGGGCGGGGCTGGCTCCTTTTCTTCACGCTGGCCCTGCCTGGCAGAGTTTGTGGAGTTTACTGGTGGTGGCTTTTGCTTCTCGAGCCTTTTCCCAGTCCCCATTAACAAAGTGTTTTTCCAGCCAAGCCAAGATTAGTCAGCGCTGGAAGAGCTGCTGCAGGAGCAGCCCTGGAGTTGGAGTTGTCCTCATCCAGCAGGTTCCCAATGGTGCTTGGCTTTCCCTCTGCCTTGGGCAAGCCTTGTTTTTTGGGATGGGAGGTTGGTGTTGAGAGAGAAGTGGTCTCAGAGCAGGGGGAATTTTAGAATGGGAGGTTGGTGTTGAGGGGAAAGTCTCAGAGCAACGGTAGAAAATCCAGGTGAGGTGGATTTTCCTTTAGAGGAAGAACTCTTGGTTTTGGGCAGGCAGAAAGAGAGAACCCCCCCTCACATAAAGGTTCTGTGCTCCAGCAAATCCTGTGTCCATGTCCTAGATCTGGGGAGAACCCCTACATGTGGAACTCCTCAGTGGCTTTGACATCTCCAGGCATGAACTGGAGCACAAACTCCTGCCTGTCAGCTTTGTCCCCTGTGTCACAGGGACCTGCAGCTCCAGGTCTGGTTTAGGAGAATGAGGGGTCGCTTCTGCTTGGGTTTTTTTGCCCGGAGTTCCCTGGTTTGAGTTGTTCCCCCCCAGCTGACGGGACGGGAGCAGCGCTGCGCTTTTGTAGCCACCTCTGCCTTCCTTCTGCTCCTCCATCTGCCTCTCGTGCATCATCCTGCGCTGCGTCGTGCCGTGCTTTCCAGGCAGTTATTTATTGCTTCTCTCTCTGCTCTTTCTGCCCGGTGTTTGTGAGGTGTTCTGAGGATCTTTAGTGGGGAGAACAGGTTGGACATCAGGAGGAATTTCTTCATGGTTGTTAAACATTGGCAGGGGCTGCCCAGGGAGGTTTGGAGTCCCCACTCCTGGAAGTGTCCCAGGAAGGCCTGGCCATGGCATTCAGTGCTCTGGGCTGGGGGACAAGGTGGGCATCGGGCACGGGGGGCACTCCATGGGCTGGCAGGGCTTTTCCAACGCGAATGATTCTGTGTTTCTGTGAAAGTTATAAAAATGCAAGTTATCAGTGATGCAGCTCATTGTATGGAAGGATTTTGCATTCTCAAACCACAAACAGGCAGTTTTACATCTACCAGACTCAGCTGTTTCCTGCCTTTTCCCACAGCCAAGACGGACATTGCGTTGAAGGTGTTGTGTTGGCACGAGAGAGGATGAATTTCATTGTAAGGGTCGTGCAGGGTGGAGTAAACCATTACTGTGTGTGGAAGAGGGTTAATCCCAGCCTTGCTCCCTGCTGGTTTGGGAGGTTAATTCCGGGTGCTGCCGGTTGGGGTGCAGCAGGGAGCTGTGAGGGGTCTGAGGTCAGTGTGAGATAACGGAGGCGGCGCCTGTGGCTGTGGTGATAAGAGGAGCTGGGTGAGGAGAGGGGAAATAATTGGGCTTCCTATGGTCTCCTCCACGCACCAAGGCCGTGGCTTTTCAGGGGGAGGGACAGGGAGGCTCTTGGCAGAGCCATGTTCTTCTGGCAGCACCTCATTCCCTTCGTTTCTCTTTCTCTTTGTGCCCTCCATGTCCTGTCCTCTGCCATGCTCAGGAACGTTTGATGGGTTCTGGGTTTGGCTTGATTGCTGCCTGCTGGTGGTATCCAGCACTCCCGCGTGAGGTTCCCTGCTCCATGAGGAGGTTCTACCCTATGGATTCATCATGCACAATGAATCCATCAGTGCCTGCATCCCTGCCCAAGTCTCCTCCAGAAGAGCCCAGGTCTGGAGCCTGCAAAACAGCCACAAACCAGATCATCAAGAGGCAGCACAATCCAATCTGTTTTAGGAGTGGAGCAGAAGGGGTCAGGAGTGGATTAATCCGAGCTGTAATGGATGTACCACGAGTGCTGGGTGCTTAATTCATTGTCTGGGATGTGAGGCCGAATGCTCATAAATCCAATCCCAGCAAGACGACAGAGGTAAAGCCTCACTTAAACTGATTAACTCGTCTCTCCCAGAGTGTCTGCGCAGGGAATCTGCCATTCCAGATTTGGGTGTGCAGCTGGGATTTATGACACACTCGCTGTGGCTGCGGCAGCGCCGACCCCGGCCGGTAACGTGAGAGCTGTGCCGGGCTCTGCCAGCGCGGGCTGACCTTGGTTATCCGGTGCTGCCGTGTGGGGTAGGGACTGTGCACCTCAATATCGCTGCCCCCGGCCCAAGGGGCTCTGGGAGGGACCCAGGCTGGGCAGTACCTGCAGGGTGGTATCAGTGAGAAGGTAGGGGAAGCTTATGCTCATTTCTACCGCGTGTGTTCCCCCAGTTCTGCTGCCTCTGGCTGCTGTCCTACAGGGTTCTGGTTATTGGTGCTCCTCCTGCCTTACCCTGCTTTGGCACCGCTGCTGGCGGTGGGTCTCTGCTGTTCGAATGTCACAGTGAGAGTCTGTGTAAGATTTTGGAGTCGCTGGAGTGAAGCAATGGAAGGCTGTAGTCTAGACCTTAGGACACGTAGTAGTTGGGTTTTTGGGAGCGTGTTGGATCTGCTCCCTGCGATAGCATCAGGGCTGTGGCCACGCCGGGGCTGAGAAAGCTTCTCCCATGCGGCTCGGCCAGTCCCGACCTGTGGTGAACGTGTTCTTGCTGAACTGGCCTTTTCCAGCCCCAAAGAGACACAGTTTGGCTACAGAAGATGGTAAATGTGAAATTTGATCATGGTCCCGAGGGGTTTAGGCCGAGTTCTCTGGTGCTCCTTGCTCTGGACTCCTGCCAGGGGCAGGATCGGTCGGACCGATCCACCTGATCTCACTGTGCTCCAGAGAATGCACAGAAACCTCTGCCTTGGCTGGTACCATTTCTGGGAATATTTGTTCCCATAAAGCCCAGCTTTATTTTACTTTTCCTACTTCCCTGTGATTCAGGGCCTCTGTAGGTATTACAGGTCCAGTGTTAATGGAAATGGTCCAATGGGGATTATTCACCTTTATCTCAGTGTTTTTGTGTTTAATGTGCAGACTCTTCATTAAGTCAGGTTATCAAAAATAGAAATGGATGTGACTTTGATAGTCACAAGAAGTTTCCCACCATGGACTGGTGGCAGTCTGAGCTGAGCCTTTGGGTGCTCTGAGTGTGGATAGAGTTACGTCACTGGAGTGAACTGGAACGCACTGAGCTAATGATTGAGGTCCCTGTAGAACTGGTTATTCTGGGGAGCTGTGTTGTGGGAAGAGGCAGAGATCATAGATGTTGGGCTGGCTCATCCATGGGTATGCCCGGATCGGTGCTGCCGGCACGCCCAGGGTCAGTGGGTGCTGTCTTGGGGGCAGGTCACGCTGCAGAAAACATCCCTGACTTGTGTAATCACAGAGGTTGGAGTTTGGAAACGTGGGCAGACAGTCCTGGTCAAGGCTTGCTTTTCCTTAATGATCTTGGCCTCTAATCAGGGCAGACCGGCCCTTCCTTGGTGTGCTGGATCTTGGCAAGTCCAACCCTGTGCTGTCCAACCACGGACGTGTTGAGGCCCTGCCGTGCCTGAGGGGTTTGGCCGGGCCTGTGAGAACATCACATCTTCCCTTCTGAAGCTTGACACGGGTCTGGAGGATTTGCTGGAGCGCTTTTTTCCCTACAGAAAAGTAACATCTTGCCATGTTTTTGGTTTTCGTCCGCTCTGTGCTGCTGGTGGCTCTCCTGGCGCTCCCCCCTCGCGCAGATCGTTTATGCGGAGCGGCCGCTGACCGACAACAACAGGTCCTTGGCCTCCTATGGCTTGAAGGACGGGGACGTGGTGATCCTGCGCCAGAAGGAGACGGTGGAGCCTCGGCCTTCCATCCGCTTCCCAGGTGAGGAAGGCTCCGTGCCAGCTGCTGCTCCGAGCCTGCAGAGGTTCCTCGGGCTTTATCCAACTCCTGTCAGTGTCTGACACCCCACTGGGTGAGGGAGGGAAGGTGACTGGGATGAGGCACAGGGGCTTTTAAATTAGCTAAAGGGCTTCCAATTTAATGTTTGTTTTGTCCTGAGGAAGCCAGTGCCATTTTACTGTTGCTTTGGGGAAATATGGAGGCAGCCAGGAGGGTCCAGAACGGTTTTGGTGAAGGTGTGTGAGTTTTCCTATGAGCACTGGTTCCCTTCCCGCTGGGCATGATGGCACAGCCGTGTCAGACCCAGAAACAGTGCCTGTGGATGTGTCCTAAACCGTCCTGTGGCAAATTCCCTGAGAAGCCCCATCTTACCAAACCCAGTGGCACAATCGTGTGTACACGTGAAAGGCTCCTCCGGGAATGTCTGAGTGGAGCCCTGTGCCTCTCTCCTGCCTTCCACAGCCATTCCTAGCAAATCCCACTCATAAAATATCCCTGAAAAAGGTGCCACTGGCTGAGAAGGGTGTGGGAGCATTGCTGAGGTCCTGGTCCTGCCTCAGCTGGAGGATGGGTACCTGCAATGCAGGTCTGCAGGAATGGTACTACATTTTTTTCCCCCCTGCTTTTTTTTAACCCAAGAGACTCTGAAGTTCCTTGGAGCCACTGGGTTTAGCCCTGTGGTCCCTCCATGAGGGATTCACATCTGTGAAGCTGGGAATAACCAGTCAGCAAGTGCATTTCAGGGGATTAAAAATGGGGCAGACAGACGAGCCCAGTTACATAAACGCGCCGTCGTTCCTAACCCAGTAACCCGGGGCCGTGGCTGCGCTTCCGACTCAGCTGCTGCTCACGGGATCCGCCCTAATGCAGCATTAAGGGCAGCTCATCCTCCCCGTGGTTTTCCAGCGGGTTGTACCCACGACACCCGTGGTGTTCCTCCCTCCAGGTCTGCCCAGGATAGACTTCAGCAGCATCGCCGTGCCCGGGACGTCCTCGCAGCAGCACCAGCCCCCGGCACAGCGGCCTCGCCCGTCGCCCCCGGATGCGCCGGCGTTCCCGCAGGGCCTGGACAACCCGGCGCTGCTGCGGGAGATGCTGCTGGCCAACCCCCACGAGCTGTCCCTGCTCAAGGAGCGCAACCCGCCCCTGGCTGAGGCCTTGCTGAGCGGGGACCTCGGTGAGTCGGGCTCGGAGCTGTTGGAGGGCTGATCAGGGGTGTTTAACGAGCTGGGGTTGCTGCAGGCTCATGGAGGCTGTGGATGAAAGGTGCCTTTGGGAGCACTCAAGGCAGAGCTCTTCTCTTTCTGGGTGTATTTCTCCTGCTCGGCTTCTTTAATATCCTCTGTCCCCTACTCAGAAATACCAGATGCGCAGATAAGTCAGGTGTCTGTGAACATGGGTGACTCAGCTCCTGATTTTTTCACTAAGACACTCCCAAATGCACATTTTCCAATAAAGGTGGTGTGTTTGCTGCATGCCAGAGCCTGCTGGGACTCAGCAGGGAGCAGCACGCTCCAAAACCAGCTCTGTCCGTAGTTATTGGCTGCTGTGGAAGCGAGCCTCAGAAAGGGAGAGGAAAAGGAACACACAAATAGTGTCTCTCAGGAGCTTTTTCAATAACAATAATCATAAATGTTTAAGTTTCTGTTAATCTTGGAAGTGTCCGTGTGTTTTGGGCACAGTTGAAGCCTTGTACCACGCCCTTCACTTCCTCTGCAGGTGAGTAGCTGATGTGGGTCCCTTGTTCTTCCTGTAATGAAAGCTTTGAACTCTGGTGTCCTTTTGGTATGGAAAGAGCAGAATTTTGGGCATGCAGATGTGCTTCTAAACCTCTGCAGGATGTTAGTTGGGAAATAAATCCTGTTGAGTTTGGAGAAATGAGTGAAGAGAAGGAGCTTCTAGCAGGAGACTTCTCCCACTTTCAGTGTTACAGCTGAGTGATCTCCCTCTGTTAAGGGAAGCCAGAAAGAAACTTCCATGGATATTGTCAGCCTACTTAATTTTTAATTCTGGCTTCAGTTCATATCCAGAGTTAAAACCATGTTCTTTGCATTCTTGGGCTTCTTCACACTTCTTGCTGGCAGTCTTTCCCATCACCTTGAGCAGAGGTGCTGTTCTTGGCACAGGAAACCAGAGGTTAAGCCCAAGATGCTCAAAAGTGGCTCCTCTGCTGCTCTGCCTGGTCTGTGCACGTCAAACTTGGACCCAGATGTCCATTTTCAGTCCCAAACGGCTGCACTGGGCTCTCAGGAGGAAGCGGTTTGGTCTGGTTATGCCCTTGTCCTGCTGCACAGGTGCTCCTCTCGATGTTTGGGCACAGATCCAGTTCAGCTCGGCTCTGATTCCCAAATATCCACATGGATCTGTGCCCTGTGGCTGTGCTGGACGAAGGCACCTGCTGTACAGAAGCCTAATTTCAAAAATCCAAATGGCAAAACGTACCAAACGACCTCCCTGAGCGTGTAACAGCCCTTGAGGCAGAGCTGCTTCCTGGGAACTGCGTCCCTGGAAGCAAACCCACAACCCTCCTCGTGTACAGACCTCCATGGACTGCCATGTCCTTTTTGATCCCATCCAAGTAGTGAAAAATAGTCAGAAACCATCCAAAAAGTGGGGATCTAAAAGCTGTGGTTTTAAAATGTGCATCTAGACTTAGTGTCCAGCCTAGGTTCCAGTGGTAGGCATTCATCTTTATGGATTATAATCTCTGGCTTTGGTTTCCCTGGGTTTAAAGAAAGTTTTGCTGTTAGTCTTTGGGAGGTTTTCACTTTTTTCCCTTATAAAAACGTATGTGCCAGGAAATTGAGTTTGATTGGGCAGGGTTTGGGAAGGGACACAAGGAGAATGAGCTCTGTCCAGTTGCTTTTCATCTCAGCGGGTTCCCAAATTTGCCCTCAATCCTTTGAGGTCCATCCATGCTGCCCTCAGAAGAAGCTTTTTTCTGTGTGCTGCCGAGTCTGCCCCTCAGCTGGCATCAAAGGAAGCATTTGCTGTGCCAGAATTTGATTTGCAAGAGTAATTTCCAGTAAAAAGCATTTCTGTATCTCTTTGTTTCCACAGAAAAATTCACGAGGGTGTTGCTGGAGCAACAGCAGGACCGAGCCCGGCGGGAGCAGGAGAGGATCCGACTCTATTCCGCTGACCCCTTTGATCTCGAGGCACAGGCCAAGATAGAAGAAGACATAAGGTAACGAACCAAAGTGCTTTGCAGGCTTCGGGGATCTTCCCTGGGGAAAACACTGCTCTGTGCTGCCATCCATGGTGGCTTTTCCTTGGAGGAGGCAGAATCTAAACACACTCCTTGTATGAAGACACGTTTGCTTGCAGGGCAATGCTCTGGGCCACCTTAGCATGTGGGAAGGTTGGGATTCGGGATGTGTAGGTGCACCCCATCCCTGAAGTGTGTCCAGCTGAGCACAGGATGTTCTTCCCTGTGAGGGTGGGGAGGCCCTGGCACAGGTTGCCCAGAGAAGCTGTGGCTGGCCCATCCCTGGAAGTGTCCAAGGCCAGGTTGGACGGGGCTTGGAGCAACCTGGGCTAGTGGGAGGTGTCCCTGCCCATGGCAGGGGCTGGAATGGTCTCTAAGGTCTCTTCCCACCCAAACCATTCCATGGCTCCATGATATGAGGTGGCAGCACTTCTGTCCATGTGTGTGATGTCCTGGAGCTGCCTGTGCTGGTCCAGTCTGAAACTGGAGCGCTTGTGGAAGGCACATCTGCTCTTGAGAGGTGGAACCTGGGGCGCCTCAGCTGTGTTCTGAGCAGAGGGCTGGGCCAGCGCTGGTCTCTGGGCTGAGCTCAGCGCAGCACCGCGGCGTCACTTCTCCCAGCTACCCTCGAGGTTTGGTTTCACATCCTGCTAATTCTTCTGTGTCTCTGGCTAATTCCAGTCTCCATCTTCACCGCTGTCGGAGCGATGTTCTGCAGAAACACATTCTGCTCATCAGCTCCCTCCCTCTTGCTGCCTGCCAAATGTAATTGCTTTGGGCTGAGGCTTGATTTCTTCAACTGAGTGATAAATCCTTGAGTCAGGACATGGCTGGTGGTTTCCCCCCTGCCCTGATAACCAAGTATCTGTCTGGTACAGACTCATCCTTGGTAAGAACAAAATTCAGTGGTGATAAGAGTTGTTGGTGTTGGATAAATGCTCAGCAATGCAGAAACCAGACATTTGTAGATAGTGAAACATTGCTTGGAGGCACAGGAATGCCTCCCTTCTCTCTGTAGATGAGGGACAGATAAAGGGGATGTGCCCAAGGCTGTGCAGCTGTTTGGGAACACTTTGGGCTGAGCAGTCCCCAGATTTCACAGCCTGCCTAGTGAAAAATGAAATGGCATCAAAATAGGAGCCCTTTTCCCTTTTTTGGGAGATGCAGTCAGTGTGGATAGCCATCACTTCCAAGATTGTCCTGGGGGCCATGAGGGGCTTCTGGAAGAGCATTTCTTCTGTTGGCCTGAATTTGCACCAAGGGCTTGTGCTCGTGGTGAGATTTTCGCTGTGGTTTTGCTCACCTCCCTCCCTTCCTATGCCTGGAAAAGGAAGGATACCAGGGAAACGGGAAGATTTTAATGTTCAGCTGCTGTGTGGGATTCCAGGGATGTAACTCCTGGCAACATCTCCCTGTGCCCTCGGTGTGACTAACGAATACGCGGGTTTTTTGCTCGAGACTCCTCCGGGTTAACGCCGTGGTGGGAGGTTCCCGTGGCCAACACAAGGTCATCAGGAGCTGCAGTGTGAGTTAGGCAGGGGCTGGAAGGAGCAGTGGCTGCTGGGGAGCAGCTTGGCATCTCTGGAATACACTAAGATCATTCCTAGCAATCCCTCAGCTCCAGGGTCTGTGTTTACTAACGAAGCCGTGGTTTAAATGTGTGTTTGTAAGGTGGATGGCAGCAGGTGGGATTTCTAGGTCTGTCTGTGGGTCAGAGGGATGTTACAAGGCCTGGCTGGTAGAAATTCTGATTTTTCTCTCTCCATGAAATCCAGGCAACAAAACATTGAAGAGAACATGACGATAGCGATGGAAGAGGCGCCCGAGAGCTTCGGGCAGGTGGTGATGCTCTACATTAACTGCAAAGTCAACGGGCACCCCGTGAAAGCCTTTGTGGACTCAGGTGAATTACCCCATTTTCATCTTTCTCCACACTCTCCCTCACTGAGGGTGACAGTAAACGTCCCAGTAGTTTTCCCCAGAAATCCCGTAATAAAGCACTACATGACAAGATGTTGAAGCACCTTATTAAACCCTGAGCACAGCCTGGGCGTTGTTTAAGGGCAGCAGAGCAAATTGTTGAGAGAAGCAGCGTGTGAACACCCCGGATCAGGGCTCCTGGGAGAGTTTCTGAGGCTCCCATTCCTGGAAGGTCACTGCCATATGTGTGTGTGTCTTATCTCATTTTGCAGACAGGGGGATTTCACACGCCTTTAATGTAGTGGTTCCCATCCACAGCCCTAAAGGGGAAGTTCTTGGGGTTGTTCCATCTGTGCAGTAACAGTCAGTGCTGATCCGTGTGTGGGCAGCCAGGTCAGCACAGTGGGATTCCCAGGAAGCCTTTATGCCCTGGGGCTGCTGCTGAGTGCCAGATCTTGAGCTCTTCCAGGAGAGAATTTTAATTTGTGATGGGGATTTAGCAGGAATTCTGTTGCTGGCAGGTGCCCAGATGACCATCATGAGCCAGGCCTGTGCTGAGAGGTGCAACATCATGAGGCTGGTGGATCGGCGGTGGGCCGGCATCGCCAAGGGCGTAGGGACACAGAAAATCATTGGCAGAGTGCACTTAGGTAAGTGCTGGCATTTCTGGGGCAGCTTTAGCAGGGGTTTGACTGCATTTCCCAGTCTTGGCACTGAGGAGTGTCTGGTTGGGTGCTGTAACTCCCACAGAGTAAAATCAAAGTGCATCTGCAAATGTGTTTGTTTGTCTCGGGCACAGAACTCTGTTTTCTGTCTCATTTAATGCTTTATTTTAGTGGAATTACCATAACACTTGGAGGTGAGGGAGTCCCCAGCTCCTGCAGGTGTAGAGAACACGTTCTCTGGGGGCAAAACCTGAGGTGAATGTGGAACACCAAGACCTTTCTTGTTTGGGGTGGGAGTGTTGGGCAGGGAGAGCTGCTCAGGAAGGGCTCCAGCACAGTGCAGTGTGTGCTGTTCCTTTGGGAAGAGGAGCCTCTCTGTGCTCTTGTGCAGCTTTTCTGGATGGAGATGATTGTCCTTATTACTGAAAAATCAATTCTGTTCACTGTTGTTGCTGCTTGGGCTTGTGTTCTAATGAGCTACTCACAGCCCCTTGAGTTTGGAGGGTCAGAGAAGCAGGACTTGAGGCTCCTGAGCATGTCAGCTTTTAAAATAATTAACTTGGGACTGTGACAGGCCTGGCAGTCCCTGGGGCTTGCACAGGGCTGGACTTTCTGTGACCAGAGCAGTATGTCAGAGCTCTGGTTTCAGATGTGCCCAGACCTTCCCCAGCAGATTTGTTGTGCTGTAGTGGTAACTTCTCTCCCTTGTGTTTCAGCTCAGGTGCAGATTGAAGGGGATTTCCTGGCGTGCTCCTTCTCGATCCTGGAAGAGCAGCCCATGGACATGCTCCTAGGACTGGATATGCTTAAGAGGCATCAGGTATCAAAATCTCTTCTGAAACAGTTACTGGCTCTTCCAAGTTAAGTGCAAAGTGCAACATAAGTGCCTCGCCTGTCAATTCAGTAGGGTTTTCCTGGAGAGGGTTGATGCTGGAATATCTTCTATCCTGGAAGCACGTACACTACATCCATCGTGGACAGCTCCAGGGTGCCTGGCTGCTGCCTGAAGCTTTTTGCTCTGATCAAAGACGCTCAAAGCTTTATAACTGAATGATTTATTACAAATCGAGTCAGACAGGACCCTTTGCTTCGAGCTGATGCTCCTGGCCCAGCGTTACCTGCTGGGAGCTGTTCCCATTGGAGTCGGGTTGTCTCACCTTGTTTCTCCCCTGCCTCCGGGACCTGACTGGCTCTCCCTCAGGCCCCTGATGTGTGGCTCTCTTCCACAGTGCTCCATCGATCTCAAGAAGAACGTTCTGGTGATCGGCACGACGGGCTCGCAGACCACGTTCCTGCCAGAGGGGGAGCTCCCGGAGTGTGCCCGGCTGGCCTACGGTGCCGGGCGCGAGGACGTGCGGCCCGAGGAGATCGCGGACCAGGAGCTGGCAGAAGCAATACAGAAATCCGTGGAGGAAGCAGGTACCAGGAGGAGCCCAGCTGAAGTGGGAGCCTGCATGTTGTTTTGCTGAGTGTCGGGATGCCTGTGAGCAGTTCCCCTTCCAGCTCTGGAGAGCAGCATCAAAGGGTGCAGAGAAGGGGCTGTATTCTTGCTCCAAGTGCACTTCTCTCTTCCTTTCTGGACAGCAAAACCTGCATGAAGGCACTTGAGGGGGTTTGCTGTTTAATTGGTGCTTTCCCTGCAGCTTCCCACCTGCCCTGGTTTCCTGGTCCTTGAGGTGTGGACGTGAATGGTTGTCTGTGACACCCGGTCAGTGGTGTCACATTGTAGTGCCTGGCAGGGCCGTGGCTCAGCTGTGGTTTTTCAGCAGCCTCGTGTAAGCACAGCTTTGGGGAGGCTTCCCAAATCCTGCTCTTAATGGCTGCACTGTGGAAAAATAGAGCAGCTGTGGCAGTGACAAAAGTTCATGGCAATTTTTAGAAACAGCACTATTGCAGCATTTTTCCCTGGAATGGTGCTCGTGCCCTCGGAGGGGGAATTGCTTCTTGTAGTTGCTCTAAATTTCAAAAGCTGAATTCACATCCCTATGTGCATCCTCAGCCTTAAATGTGATCTGCAAAGAGAACTCTCCCATAGTTTTGTTCCTGGTTTTGTTCCAAATGCTGCACAGATGCAGTGCCTGGGCTAGGGAAGATTTCAGTGGCTGCAAAATTTAGTGAAGTAATTTTATTTTCAGCCAAAAGAGCTGAAAGCTGAGCTATGAGCCAAACAGTTTGAAACTCACATTTTCTGTTCAACTCCTCCCTTAATTCAGCTTTTGGCTAAAGGAAGAATTCATTATTTTTTCCCTGCTGTTACAGGGAAGCTGTGAATACCTCAGAGTGTATTTCTTAGGCTTTTCCAAAACTTTTAAAGATAACATTTTATATCCAAGTGTTTTATGGAGACCTTTGACTCTTCCTGCTCATTTTCCCTCTGGAAGCACAGAGTAAATTCTACTTTCTACACTCATGCAGAACTCTTTGCTGGGTCAGGTTTAAGCTGATAAAGTTGATTCAACATTTTTTATTGCTAATTTTTTAAGACTCTAGCATGCTCATATTTAAGATTGAAGTGAGATAACAAGATTTAACAGTATATTAAATTTATTTTTGTTTATTAGATATTAATATTTATATATATCTAACTATATTTAAATATTAATATTTAACCATATTTGACCTTCCAATCAGGTTTTGATGTCTCTAAAACTCGGGCTCAGTACCTCGGGCTCGTGTCTCTTTCCCATAACCTGGCAGGTGTAAATATTAGTTCTTTTCCTGTTAAAACCTGGAGCCTGATGGAGCCTGAGTTGGTTTTTGGAATATATCTCTACTTTGGATGAGACATTATAATTGGTTGGGTTAGTTCTCTGCTGAAAGGGTCGAATAACAAGCAACCCTCAGCTCAAACTATGAGTCTTTACAATAAAAACATTTTAGTCGAGTGTTTGAAAAAGAAGTGCCTGAAATGACTTAAATCCAAGCTGCTTATGTACCTCATACAGTTCTAAGGACCACATGGCTTTGTTCAGCCTAATCAGCACTCGACCACTTTCCATGGATGCTGAGCCCTAGAGGAATGTAAAAGATTTATGGGAATAGGAAATGCATGTTGTGTGTTCACTTCATGCTCACAGAACACCAAAACACAGGACTAAGAGGGGGTCGTGTTCAGGTTGACTGTGACAGTCCTGACACAGGACCAGCCTCTGGCCCACAGGCATTTGTTGGCTGTATCCTAAAATGTTAGCAAATTCCCTCTCTCTCTCTTCCAAAACTTGAGTTGCTGCTAGGTGGTACCAGGAAAACCGAGAAAGGAAAGAACAGGAAACGGAAGAAGGAGAGAAAGAGAACAAGATGAAGCACCACAGAAGCTCAGCTCGCCACAAGATGTGTGTTCTTTCCTAAGAGCTGGAATTTTTGCTGCCTTCCAGGAGATGGTACAACACAAATGGCTGCTTGCACCTGGAGGCTATTAAAGTGCTCGTTTTGAATGCACCTGGATTATCCCTGAGCTTTATTTAATCCCTGAAGCCCACTTAAGGGAGCCTCATGACTTCTGTCAGCTGACCTGCTGGTGGTTCAGACCTACAGAAGGCAGCTGAGGTGGTGGTGGAGCCCTGGTGTGGTTCACTGGCATCCAGGTCCTCCACGTCCTCATTTATCTCTGAGGGCTTTATGCTCTTTTGTGCCAATTTCCCATCACTGGAAAACTCAGTGATCGTGGGGGATTCAGAAACCTGGCAGCAAAACTGGAGCTGTTTGAGGAGGAAGAAAGGAAGTGTAGCCAGGCAGGTCACCCCATACGCAGCTTTTCATCCAGGCAGCCTCAGTCCAAGTTGCTGCCACCACACACAACTCGGGCTGTTCCTGATTTAAATTCCTGAGAGGAATTTATCCCTGATGGTGCACTTTGTGGGGAAGAGTTTGTTCCTGGTATTAGCTGGATCAATATCCCTGATGGGGCTGGGATTCAGCTCCTGTAGACGCCCCAGGAGGAGGATGACACAGAGCAGTGCTTGGCAGAAAAACAGCTCCTGCTGCTGCCTAAATGCAACTCCCCGGCGGGTTTGATCAGACCCTCATTAATGATCCAACGGGTCAAAGGACAGTTCTGCTTCCTCCCTAAAGGGTTGGTTTGGGAACAGAGAGTGAGAACGTAATCCTTCCACATAGAAAGGATCCCTCTGGTTTTCATCTGTATCCATATCCTGTGTCACAAGGCTTTTCCCTTAGGAAAGATGAGCAGTGCATCAATCCAAGGGGTGGTATCATGGCACATACTGCACCAGTTTTAGTTAACAGAGAATAAAAGAACAAGAGGCTGAGGAGAGAAAGGCAGATTCCATGTTGTGGAATTTAAAGGGAATCCTGGCTGTAGGTGTGGGCATGGTGAGCTGTGCCCCAGTACTCCTGTAGAAAGGGAAAGACCAGGAAAACTAGTGTTTAAGACCACTGAATGTGGGAGGGGAAAGGGAGCTCATGCAGCACAAAATATGGATGTGTGACCTGGGAGGAGCAGGGCTGTGATGGCAGGACTGATCTGACCGCAAAGGTCGGGTGAGTGATTTAGAGAGTGCTGATACCTCAGCTAGATTAGACTGTCAGCAAGATAAGGTCACTTCTTTAACCTCTCCTGATAACCAGAGCAGTGTGTGGTGCTACTGGTAGACATCTGCTATTCATCCAGTCTCATGGGGAGAAGGAAGCAGCGACCTGGGCTTGGCTTCTGCCTGTTTCTCGTTTGCTTTGCTCTTCCCAGCCTCGTCAGCAGCTCCTTTGGGGGGTTTCTTTCCCCTTTGGATCTGTACTCTTTTGCAGCAGGCTGGTGTTGGTTCACCTTCTCTTGCCTGTGATGGCACTGCTGGGAGCACAACCCAAGAATGGTGCAGCCATCTCAATTCTCATATCCCTGAAACATGTCTCCTGAGTATCTCCAGCCAGAGGGAAAACAGAGCAGTAGATGCATGCCCTGTGCCGTGTGTGGTTTACCAAGTGTGTGGCATCACCCACGGACTACTCTGCAGCACAGACAGTACAGAGCAACCTTTAAACTGTTCTTTGGCAGAGTTATCATGACTCGATGTACTGAATTTCCCAGGCAGAATCCTTCTGGGAGGCAGGAGCTCCTGCAGCCTCCACGCTGTCACGCTGGACAGTCGGGAGTGGAGCTGAGCAGGGCTGTGACCGTGCATGGTGTGTGCTCTGAATGCTAACACGAGTTTGGTGTGTTTGTTTCCTAATCCAAACAGAACGTCGGAAGCCTTGATGCATGTAGTGTGTGTTTACTGCAGCTGGAGTGGGCCACAGACCAGGTATTTACAGCCACCCGTTCCGGTTTGCGCTGCCGCGGTGCAAACGGTGGTTCTGCCGTGTCCTGACTGCTCCTGTCCTTCTGTCTTCTCCAGAGAATAGTGACAAAGAAACTACCTCACTGGAAATGCCCTCATTACCAGCTTCTGATGGGTTTCAAAATCCAGTCCAGTCTTCAGGACTAAATTCCAAGATCTGTAATCCCACAAATCAATTACTTGATCGTTCTGTCTCTGCCCCTGCTTCAATTTGCTCATCCGAATCCAGCCTCGCAGAGCCCATTGATCCCAGAGCCGTCAAGACTTTTGACTCTTCACCTGAACGCCAGATAATCCCGGAAAAAGAGCATCCTCTGGTGTTAGAGCATCTTTCCAATAGCTCTTCCTTGGCAAATAACCCGTCTCCCCACACCGGGGAGGCAACCTGCTCCAATCCAGCTTGCCTTTCACAGAAGACACTCGAAGAAACATTTATTGCTGACATTTTAAAGGAATGTAATGCTAAAGGACAAGATCACAGTCAGGAACATCCTCTGGAAGTGACAAAAGACAATTTGACTGACACTGCTGCCAAGCATGGGCAGGATGAAGATGTCTGTCTGCCTTCGGAGCAGGAGCAAGAGCATGAGCTTCCCATAGACCATCGGACGTGCAAAGAGCCAGAAAAGGAACATCTGGAGGAGCAAACTGAGACAACTGACCCAGAACCTCCTTGCCATGTTGGTGGGTTTGAGAAACCTGTTGTGGCAGAAGCCAACCAGCCAGAAGATCCTCCCCTGGAAACAAGAGATGGACTAGAGAGAGCAGGTCTTTCCTGTTCGAAAGGGATTATCCAGCTGTCAGCCTCCTGTGTGCACATGGAAGCCTCCATGGAAGTCGATGTAGTTGAGCAGGATGCAGCTGAAGTGCGGAGCTCAGCAAGGGAGCAGAAGCAGCAGACCGACGACAGACGTGTATCTGACCTGAGCTCGGACGCCTTTTCCATGGAGGTGGAGTTGCTGAAGTCTCCGTCCTCCTCAAGGGCTCTGCTTCCCACCGGTGATGTCCTGCAGTCTAAAAGCTCTGGGGAAATTCCTGCAGAGTTGTCTAATTTGGTGACTGAAGTCAGCTCTTCCCCCTCCAGCATCCACGAGCTGAACACGGCTCCAGGAGGACCTTCAGAAGAGCCATGTTTCCCTCTGGCATCAGCCTTGAAAGAGCTTCACAAACTCTTGGTTATCAGTCGGAAAGGGGAATGTAAGATTCTCGCCTCGGAAGAAGTCTCCCAGCTCGAAATGGTTTGCAGAGAGCCAGCAGCAGTGGAGAAGGGGCTTCCTGAAGGTGAGCAGAAAGGCTCAGATCCAGCGAGCCAGGAACAGAGCTGCTCCTGCCCCGAGGTGAGGTCTGAGGGGAGCCAGCCCTGTGATTCCAGCAGAGAGCACATCAGCACCGGGCCTGTTGGTCGCAGTCAGCCTGCACTCGGGGAGGGGCCTCTAGGGAGGCAGAAGGGTCCAGGTAAGAGCCATTTGGTCCTGGAGAGTTCTGCAGCCACACCTGGGCAGCAGCAGAGCCTGGAGCAGGGGGAGGCTTTGGCAGAATCTTCTCAGAGTCCAGCTAGTCCAACTTTGGAGCAAAACACACCCGTTTCCTCCACACCTGCTTTGGGTGAAGGCGCACCTCAGGATATGCAGGGCCTGTTCATGGGAGCGCCTGGGAGGAGCAGCAGTGCTGCTCCTGAGGGTGGGTGTGAGGAGCCACCACTGAACCCACCAGCTGCCTGCACCAGACTGGCCGCGGGTGCCACTCCAGCCCCTGCTTTCCCTGCGGCTGATGTCGACCGGATCCTCAGTGCTGGTTTCACCCCGCGGGAGGCTCTCGAGGCCTTGGAACAAGCGGATGGAAACGCAGATCTTGCTCTTCTCATTTTGCTGGCCAAGAGTATCGTCGTTCCCACGTAACAGGGAGCTGGCTGGGGGGTCTTCTACAGGATGTATCTCAATTACACACCACAATGGATGAGCAGAATGTTGAGCCAGATTTTTTAATTATTTGCAGCCAAAGTAACTTGTCTCTTCTGTTTTACTTAATAGATTTGGCCTTTGAGAAGAAAGAAAACATCCTAGCATTGTGTGGACAGAATAGCTTTTAATTCTTCCTACTGGATTAAAATGACTGGGTTATTTAAATGTACAATTTTAGAATAAGCTCCAGTGCTACGAATAAAAAGCAGAAGCCGTTGTGCTCACTGCCCTGTCTGGAGCAAAGTGGGTTGTGACAGGAATTGGCCATGGGATGGGAGGTGCACGTGGAGTCCACACGGACTCTGGATTTGTTGTAGCTCTTTATAACCCAAAATCCAGCTGTTGAAACCATCCTGGCAGCAACTAAAGATGTGTAGATGCCCACAGACATAAAAGGCTTTGTTAGAGGAGCGAGGGGTGTGGGTTTTTTGGGGAGTGTGTTTTTGTGTGTGCACGGGGAAGGCTGATGCTTATTTTTGCCAAACCCTTTTAAGCTGGTTAGATTTAGAGTTGGACTCGATGATCCTTGTGGATCCCTTCCAACCCAGAATATTCTGTGATGCTCTTGGGCCAGTGTGTTCCAGTTTACAACATGGGGATAGAAGAAGGGAAGGGATAGAATTTGGTGCTACCAAAACTTTAAAGAGACATTTTAACTTATTTGGAGATGCATTGGTATTAATTGCAGGGGACAGGGGGAGGGAAAAGGAGTATTTGACATTTTTTTCTAGCCTTGCCCACATCTCATTTCCCCCATGCAGAAAGAACAAGCTCAACCACTTAAAGGCAAAACCTTAACAACGAATTTGTTTAACAAACCAACCATGTGTTATGGCTCCAAATCCTCCTCTGCCCAGGGAGGAATGAACTTCATCTCGGTGGCTGCATTCCCTGTGCTCTGAGAGGGGCTGTGATTGGAAGAAGGATCTGCTTTGCACTGGTTTGCCTGGATGTTTGGGGATGATCAGCCTCTGAGCTGGGGGGTGCTGATCTCACACCTCTTCAAGAGTAAGGACTCCCCAGTAGGGTTCATGAAACAAATGCACTGACGTGGCTTCTGTGCTACAACCGTCGTGGCCTTCTGGGACACCCCTGGGGAGTCCCTGCGTGGTGAGGCCTCACTGAGGCTGTGCTGTAGGAAGCCCTTTCCAGATGCTTTTTTTGGGGGATGATGCTCTGCAAAGCCCCAAAACTCTGTTGGGGCTGGGGAAGGAGAAGGAAAGTGTGGCTGAAACCAAAATTTAAGTAGGAACTTTGATTTAGTCCCACTTGCAAATCTCAGAAGTGGCTTTGTGTCAGGTGTTCATCTTGAACTTGCTGCACTGAGCTGAACGTGGAGTGATGGCTCAGCAGCACCAGACACGTGTTTTTGTTTGTGGCTTCCATGTGGTGTTGTCATTGTCTCAGGCCTGGGTCCTGGTGTTTCGTGTTCCCTGTTGCTTTAGCAGGTTTCCTACATGTGTGCTGGGCTGTTTTCGTGCAGGTGGCATTTAAAACCAACACAGATTTGGTTTCATCTGTCACCTCGCAAGAGTTTCTGCTGTCAGTGAGCGCTGGTGTCAGATTCGTCTCAGACACGTGGGCAGCCAGGAGATCCTTTACAGTAACGAAGAGCCTTAAGGCATTCCACTGTCAAAGGGAGCTTTTCCATGCGCTGGGGCAGTCCCAGCCAGGCCTGGAGCTCCCAGACAGGTTTGGCTTATATCCCTCTGCTTGTGATGCCAGCAGTGGGTGTTGCTCCGTGTGGGAAGCAGTGCTTGGCTGTCTGGGAACCCCCCGCCTGAGCAGCATCCAGCAATTCAGTTGGAGCTCTGCTCAAAATGAGTTCCTGAGGCCAGACTGCAGCTTTCTCGTCTTCACCGTGTGAGTGGTGGAGTTCCCCCTGCTGAAGGTTTGGTTTAATATTCTTGCAGTGAGCACCTCAAATCAGCAAAAGCCCCTCTGTGAAGGGCAGCACCTGGGCTGGTACAGGAGTAGTGTCATCAGGTCTCTCGAAGCCTTAGGAAATAGAATATTTTAGACCTGTTCCCATCTGCATCTGGTTCACTATCAGAAGCAGCAGCAACGAGGCTCCAGCTCTCAGATCCAGAGTGACTTCAGACAGCTGAATCTGCTCCCAGTTTGTGCCCTGGGGCTGGGTGAGGTGGTCCTGGGAGCAAAGTAACGCAGGTAGCAGGTGCAGGTTGGCCCTCTTGGATGCAGGAGAGCTGAACCTGCACCCTTAGTCTGCATGTGGATCTACTGCCAGCTGCTTGGAGCATCAGATGTTGGCTGCTCAATGTTAGCTCCTCATGTTAGCTCCTCAGTGTTAGCCCCTTGTGCTCACCCTTTGTGTTTTAGGAGCTGCTGCTCTGCACCGGGCTGGGGACAGGCTCTGGTTTCACGGCGACTTAGGCTGCGCATACGGAATTTACGCTATAAAAGCTTTAGAGCATCAGCCAGTCTGCTTCAATGCTCAGTTTTACTCCTTGTCAAATACGAGTTTTGAAACCCGCCCTCCTGCCAAAGCTGTATGGAAGCATTTATCCATAGTGCTAGAATTCCCTGGGTAACTCTCTCAACTGCTAGAAACAAACCCTGACCCCCAACTGATAAATACTTGTAAAACTTTTATCAAGTAGGTCCAAGCCTGGTGATTTAAATCTCTTCATTTCCGAGCCTTGCTTTGAGTGAATGGCTATGCGCTGCTGAATTAGCGAATAATTTTTTTAGGAGTAAGATTTAGGAGAAAATTGGGGCAGTGGTGAGTATTTAAGGTTAAAATAAAATGTAATAGAACGTGTGTTTAGCGAACGCTGTCTAAAAGTTGTCTTTGTTTCAATGTGTGTCCTCTCTGCTGCGTGCACACACACGTCCTCTGCTCAGCTTCCAGCAATCCCTTTGCTGGTCCCTGTGCTGACCTGGCTCACAGAGTGGGAATATTTCTATGGAAGGAGGGATGGCAGAGCGCTACAGCTTGTTGGCTACAGCAGGGGATAAAGGTACCACCAAAAGCTTTTCAGGTTTCCAAAGAGCTGTGTATCCTGGCCTAAAATCAGACCTTTGCTCTCTTCTCTTCCCCCTCATCATTAATTGGTGCTCCAGTGTCCTAATGTCACATCAGCAAAGGGATTTCACCATGAAAGTCCTGCTCTAGAGAGTAAAGCAACGCTCAGAAGCTGCTTCGTGAAGCTGCCAGTGCCTGTGGGACCGGGTGGGTCCGTAGAGATTGTTTGTGGGTGTTCCTTGGAGCCACTGTTGGTTTTGGATGTATTATTTTCCTTAAAGATATGGAAGCAATGGCCTTGGCCTCTTGCTGAGCATGTGTTTCTTTACACAAGGCCGTAGGTGAGCACAGAGGGATGTTTAGTGAAATCCCAAAATCTGGAAGTTTCTGGGCACAAGTGACTGACAAGAGGAGGGATTATTCCTGGTGATGGTCCCTGGCATGTTTTCCTGCTGCTGGACAGAGCTGAGCTGTGCTGTTACCCTGACAATCTGCCTCGTTGCTGCATCTGTTTGACTTTCTACATAGGCACTTGGTCTCCAGGACTGTTAATCTTGTACCTTCTCTGTGTTCCTCTCTTCCTGTCTTTGTCTCTCCCTCTTGCCATCCTCTCCTCAAAAGTAGCAATATTTAAGTGTACTTGCTGAATGCTAACTTCAGTTTTCTCTAAGATGCTATGCCATTGACAAAAGGAGAAGCAGATCCTAGAGGTTTCTTCACCAGACTTGGATTTCTTGCCAAACAGCTCCCCAGAACTTTAACAGGAATTCAAAGAGGAGAAATCCAGAGGTATTTTTGCCTGCCTCTCTCGGAAGTCAGCTTGGGGGTCGGTTTCGTGTACATCATTCCCCTCTGAAGTGTTCAAGAGATTTCTTCCTGCACTGTGTAGATGAGGCTTGGTCTGTGATCCAAATGTACCTTTGGGTCACACTTTGATGCTTTTTAGCTTCAGAGTTTTACAGACTCACTTAGGGAACTTGAGGGAATCAATACTCAGGAATCCTAAAGCTGGTTGTGTTTGTGTTGTTGACTCTCATGGGCTGAACACGCTGCGGCCTCGCAGGCGGCTGAAGGGAGGAGAGTGGGTGTGTCACCAGTGGGATGTGGTTCTGCCCAGAGTAATACACACTTGATTCTTTTTTTTGATTTTTTTTTTTTAATATCGGGGGACTGTTTATCAACAAAATTGATGTGTAAAGAAAATTTGATATTTAAAAAAATGAATAAAAACTTTATCATAATGTTGCTTGGTTGGTCTGTCTGTATTTCTGAGGCCAGCAGCTCTGCACTCAGATCCTTCTCTGCCTTTTTTACCAAAGCCAGTGGATTTTCCTTAACATAAATGTCATTTTAAACGTAACAAGTAGAAATCTGTGGGTAAAATTATTCCAGTTGGCAGGGCCTGAGAACAGGCATGAGAAATTCCTGTATTCCCCTTCTTTGGGGATGGGTGATGGGTCCTTCAGGCAGGACTTGGAAGTGGAAGAGCACGAGAATAAACACAAAATGTAGCACTTGGACACAGCTCTGTCTGATGAAAAAATGAATAAGGCACTCCTTGTCTCCTACCTAAATACCTCATTTCCAGCCTGATTAGGAGATGGTTTTCTTTTCCTGGAGCTGGAATTTAATTTCTTGGGTCATTAAAAAAATTGGCATTTCTATCCCCGCAAAGCTCATGACAGTTGTAGTTAGAAATAACTTTTTTGAAGTCCCATTCTCTTAGTGTGAGAGAACAGGTTTTGGAAAGGAGGAGTAGAGGATATTCCTCAATGAAACTTGGGGCGCAGTGACAAACCCCAAGATAGCATCTCATGGAGCAGCAATTCCTTCTTCAGATCTGGAAAAACTCGCACTTTTCCTTGGGACAACACTGAGGTTTTGACTGTCTTAAGTCCTCGCTATCAAAAGTTGTCAGTGTTGGTACCAGATGAGAGACACCGACACGATGGGTTATGAATCAGTTGCTGTGACAAATTTGGCAGTAGTTTCCTAACATGTTCAGAGCTCTGCATGTGCTGCTGTTGGCAGTGTTAGAGCCAAGTGAGGTCATTAGTGTCATGAGGTCATTAATTAGGAGGCAAAACTACATTTTGAATCCTGTTCTCAGGGTGGGAAAGGATTTGATGTGAGGGTTGCTACAGCCTCATCATACATTGACCAAAGCGTTCACTGTGATTTTTTCTGCTGGGAGGTGGTTTAAGGACTAAGTGCCCTGTTTCAAAACTGTTTTGAGCACTTGGGCCTTGTTTTTTCTGCTTGAGGAAGATGGTTTTATTTTGGTAACATATAAAAGTGAAAATTAACCACAGTTATGGTTGTGTTCACATTTGGGATTGTCCCAGTCTGAATTGGGAATGAAAGCTGAAGGAGGGTAGGTTGGCCTCCCACTCCCTGGAAGTGTCCAAGGCCAGGTTGGACAGGGCTTGGAGCCACCTGAGCTAGTGGAAGGTGTCCCTGCCCATGGCAGGGGGTGGAACGAGATCTTTAAGGTCCCTTCCAACACAAACCAGTCTGGGATTCTGTGAATTTGGGTATTGGCACTGAAATCTGCGGCCTTTATACAGCCAAGAGACGATCACACCCCGTGCAATAAATGTAAAGGTGCTCCAGGTCGGTGTGTTTTCCTTGGTTATTTTTTGTGGGCCTTTAGGAGTAGAGGTCTCCCCTAAAAACTCCCCACAGAGGTCTGGAGTTTAAAAATAACAGCTGAGGGTTTTCTGAGCAGTCACGTGGGCGCTGAGGCTGCGCTAAGAGCAGAAGGCAGAGAGGTGAGGTGAGGGTTGCAACATGCGACTTCCTGCACTGGAACACTCAGGGAATGCTCAGCAGAAGGAACGTGACCGAGCCATTGCTCAGGAATTCTGCAGTGCCTCCCAACAGCCCTGCCTGGCCTCTCTGCAGTCCCATGGTCTGAGCGCACGCCTGGTGTGCCTTTGCCAAGGGAACCACTTTTTGGGCACGTTTGTCACCAGAGTGGGATTTGGGAAATCCTGCTGGCCAGCCCGGCTTTTGATTCACTGTGGTCTTACATGGATTATCTGCTCTGCCTCATTCCCTGGGGGCATGCTGGGGGTGCAGGGACCCCTTGGAAGTGTAACCACTCCACTATGACATAATTGCCTCTGACAACCACGTGTACTAATTACAGGGTGCTGTCATGATTGCCAATAAAGCACTGAGTCACAAGGATGTGAGTGCTGGTGACTGAAATCCCTCACAACAGCCACTGCCAAAGGAGTGGCTGTTTCCCAGTCCCTTTGTTAAGAAATGGAAACGGGACGAGGTTTAAAATCAAACCACTTGTGCCTGGCTGTGGAAATGGAGGTGTGTTCACTTATAAGCCAACTGTTTCTTCTGTGTTTTTCGTAATACTAATTTTTTTCCTGCCTGGATCACTGGCAGGATTATTGAAGTGCCCTATGACTGCACTGCATTAGGTAGTATCTTAGGAGCATCTTTCATGTAACACACCTTGCTCAGGAGGTGATAGCCTTCTGTCCTTCCTCACTCTCTGTCTGCCACAAGTGCCCTGCGGCTCCTCTCCTTGTGGATCACGTTATTCATGCCAACTTCAGGCTGCAAATAATAAGCAAAGAGTTAAAAACCTCTTGGGAAGAGAGTGGGAAGCAGCCCAACATGTGGAGGGAGTGGGATGGAGCCTCCCAAGCTTGTCTAAGGAGAATGGCAGCTGTCTAAATGCTGGGAGTGAGGAATTTTCCATGTAAATCCCTAATTGTGTGGTGGGTGCTTTAAGGGATTACAACCAACTCGTTTTACTGGGAGTAAAATGCTTGGGGCATTCAAAGCATCCAGGAAAGCTGCAGGAGACCAGGAAGTCTGCCCTACCATAGAATCCTAGAATGGTTTGGGTTGGAAGGGACCTTAAAGATCATCTCCTTCCAACCCCCATGGGATTATACAGGTGTGGATGCTGCACCTGGTGCCTCTGGAGCAATGAGGAATGCAAATGGATGCACATGCCTGCTGGTGTTGCTCATTTTCCTTAGACTTCATGCTTTAAATCCTAAAATTCACCAGCAAAGAATAAAACAGTGCGTGGGATCTGTTGGGCTGCTTTAAAAGGAGCTGACTTTAGTCTCTCCAGTGACTTGTTGGGGATCAGGCTTGGATGCTTCATGCTCAGGACTGCTGTGGAGTAGTTGTGTGTGGGTTTTAGGGAGGTCCTTTCCCTCAAATCCCCCCCGGTTCAGTAGGAGAGAGTCACCTTCCTCCCCAGCTGCTGAGACAAGCTCTTATCCTTCGGATCTCACTTAAAATGTTTCTTCTTCTCTAGAGGCTGGTGGGGAGCTGGAAAAATAAAAGTTTTCTGCTTTGGCTCACTTCTAACCCAAGCACTAAAGAGCTGCACTCTCTTCCCTTCCCTGGGAGTTTCTCCCATGGTTTCCAAAGCTGTTAAACTGGCTGGGCTGTTCCTGCAGGGAAAGAGCAGGTTTGGCCTGGTGTGGTTTCTTTATCCAAGTCCTTGCTCAGCCCTTTCCTTCCCTGCCAGCAGGTTATTTACAGAGGAAGGGGTGGGAATGGCAGGGAATGTGCTCCTGGGGAGCTGCTGGCTTTTCCTTTTTTAATTGCTTTGACTTTCAGTTCCATTTTCAGTTCCAGGGTCGGGTGCAGGCACTAAGCCAGCCTCGAGTCACAACTCTTCACCTCAATCTCAGGAGGAGAGTTCATTATTATTTTTTATTTCTTTAACCCCCTCCATTGAGCCTTTGTGCCAGCTCCTGGTTCTGTCCTGTGATGGCAAGTAGGACTTGTATCTGAGTTTTTTAGGAGCTTTTCCCAGCGATGGAGGTTTAGGCTGAAGCAACACTTAATGTGGCCCATTTTTGGATTCATGGTGCCACCCAGCACATGGACCCCAACAAAGAACTAGATCCCCTATTTCAAGTTGCTGGAGGGGGACTGAAGGAAGCACTGCTGAAGCCCACAATGGTGGGTTGCCATGTGGACTCCCCATTTTTCCCTCACCACGGAATATCTCCCTTTCCTTTGAGGCCAGCACCCCAAAGCCAGAGGCTGGGTGGTTGGTGGCCACCTCACCTGGTGTCCCCAAACCCACTGTGTGTCCACTCAGCAGGCACCCAACACCGCTGTCCCCTCCTGTCCCCTCAGGTGACTGTGAGGGACCCAACACCATCTCCCCTCACCCCCCTCACATCCCTCCTTGCTGTGAGGGACCCAATGCCATCTTCTCTCGTGTCCTCTCGTTGGGTCATGAGGGTCCCAAATGCCATCTCTCCTCACCAAGGTCAAGGACATAATGAACTCAAAGCCATCCCCCCTCGTGTCCCCTCACTGTCCCCAATGCCATCTCCCTTAATGTCCCCTCACTGAGCCTGGGGCTGCGTGGGACTTTGTGCCATCTCCCTCCATGCCCTCACTGTCTCCAACAAACACCATCTCCCCTCGTGTCCCTTCACTGTCCCCA